TTATTTTTGTATAATCCCAATTAATGGACCTTCCGCCAATAGTGATCCATGACCAGATATTACCTCCTATAACAAGTGAATTTTAAATAGAAATTAAGCTTAAAATGATATTTATAAGGATTACTTGTTATATCTCTTCTCATTCACTTTAGAAACTACAAGAATTTATTTATAGGAACCATTATTGGCGGAAGGTCTCTAAAGTTGGAATTATTCTGAAATAATCGATAGTTGGGATTATTAGGAGCGGACCGCCGATAATTGGGATTATAACTATTAATTTTTCCTAAAATATAATAAGCATAAGGGACAATTACCAAAAGAGGAGTAAAACATAAGAGTTGTGCAAAAATAGGAGTAAAGTTTTTAAATTTCCAAAATGAGAGTACTTTTTTCTAACTGGACAAGGATGCACCTGCCTGCCTGATGCTGCCTGCTGCTAAAGTACCGCCTTCGGAGCTCCGAGGTAAAAAAATTCTATACGGAGTATTTCAGTATTTCTATAAGAATAAAATGTGACAAAACTTACGTTAAATATATATTTTTATAGTCATGGTCATAATCACTGGGGAGTTACTAAATCATTTATTGTCCACTAGGCTCAGGTTAATCATATACGGAGTATTTTTTTATGTGCAGTGGAAGAAATCGGCTTAAATTAATAACACATCATTTAAATAGTAGGTAATCTGACAAAATGACTCCTAACAACCGCCGTCTCTTGAACCAGACTCAGAGTTTATCACCGTAGTGATATAACTCGTTGATCCATTAATGGGCACAAATGAGCCAAAGACGGTTACCACAGTCATTGCATCACCCACATCCAAATCTACAGTTTTATAGCAGAATAAAATAAAGAAATTGTGATCAAAGAAATTAAAAGGCAAAAAAAAAACAATAAAATAAAACTCTTGCTCCTTCCAGAGCACCACTTCCAACCACGTTCCGGAACCTCCTATCTGTTTCTGATACTCCGGCGGCGGTTCAGGAGGACGACAAGCCTGCAGTACTGTAGTTTCTTCCTCACTCTGCCTCTTATTCATCACGTTCTCTCTCAAGTCTCCACTTTCGCCACCATTCACAGTTGACCTTGAATCCAGATCTGTTCTAGCTTTTAACCCCAAGCTTTGTCCATGACCTTTACTCGATGATGTCATCCTTTCACTATTGCTACTTTGTTCCTTGTTCGCACGAAAAAAACTCGTCGCAGGAGAAAACCCCAAATCGAAAAACCGCCCAATCTATTAGATCGGCAGAAGAACTAAAACCTAACTAGAGGGACAATGACCGTTGTTACCTTAATGATGAAGTCGGAGAAAGAGAAGAAAACGAGCATAGACCAACGAGCATCAGTCGGTAAGCATCCGCCCAAGCAGCGTGGCGGCTAGGGCTTCCATAAGCATACGCCTTTGCCTTCTTTTATCATATACGGAGGCGGCTAGGGCTTCCACAAGCGTACGCCTTTGCCTTCTTTTATCATATACGGAGTATTAGAAATTATTTTTATGAAATAATTATTACAACGTTGGATTTCATTTCTAAAAATAAAATTCACAAATATATGTCACTGTCTCTGTCACCGATGTGACTATCATTGGGAAATGTGTCACTGTAAATATTTCAACTACTATTTCGATGACCTAAAAGAATAGTTATCTTGCTGCCATCGACGACGGTTCTATATGACAATCGTTGCAGTGGTTGTTGAAGACAATAAAGGCGCAAGGGTAGGGTGTCGTGCAGGGCCCAGTTGGTTAGGAATTAAAAGGTAATGAAATTTAAATTAATTAATTAAAGGTCATTCACATTTAAAAAAAGATAGTTGTCATACTTCTTGTTTTTGTTTTCAAGTGTGTGGAGGTAATATTTATCTCATTTTTTTTTTTTGAAAAATTACATGTACAAATTACAAAACCTCATCCTATAAGCGTTAGGTATATATTAGGTAGCCGCCGAGCCTTGAGGAAAGGTTTGGCGTGCAGCAGTGTGCGGCGTATCCCTAAGCGTAAGGTGTTAGAGACTGTATGACCAAGCTCTATCCGTGAAATTGAAGATGAAGGCCGGCGCTACCATGCTAACAAGGGAGGATTTGAAGAAGACAGTCTCAAGGTGGGAGATTGTAAGGTGTTAGAGACTGTATAACCAAGCTCTATCCGAAATTTTTTGTTCGTTTTTGACAATCAAGTTTTTCGTACAGTTTGGGCCGTACAGTTTGGGCCGTACAGTTTACTATTTTTTTGGAAACACGTCCTAGTTGCCTTGGGGTTAGGTTTTACTTCTCTATAAATACAAGCTCTCTCCCTTGTAATCATAAGATCCGAAAATTAATAACATTCCTGGCTTGGTAGCGCCCCCAGACGTAGTCCTCTGTGGCGAACTGGGTTACCAAATTCCGTGTGTTCTTTAATTGTTCTTCGTGTTGCGTAAATTAATTCCTAACACTAACTTCGTCTAAGGCTTGATTATCCGGCCAACGGCTTGCGCCGATTGTTGCTCGGTGAGTTTTGAAAGGATGAAAGGCAATTTGCTAATCTTATAGCTGATTGGATTGCATGACTTCAAAGGAGGGATGATTTGGAAGGGCAGTGGGCTTGAAGGATGTTGTTGAGCGGTGGACATGGAGATCGGATGACAATGAAGGATGACTCCATTCCAGACCGTTCATGCTTTAATCCATCCTGGCGGCTGGCTGTCCTGGCTACATATCAAGGGGAGATCGAGGTATAGGCTACCGATTGGAAAATGTGGATCATCAGAGCGGCAGATTGATGCTTGAAAAGGAGGGGACAAGTTTGGTTCTTCACGGAAGAGGAGGGTCTATGGGCGGCGGCGTTGAGGTTTTTTGGTTGAGTTTGACGGAAGAGGAGGGCCTTGGGCCCCGGACCGGCCGAGCTGGGCCTGTCCACCAAATGTTGATCCCATGGCCCGCCTATTGAATCTCCCGGGTTGGGCCCTGGGCCTAGTTCTGAATCATTAGGCCGGGTCAGGCTGCACAGTACTGGGCCAGGTCCCGGGTTGGGCCGACCCGTTCCAATCCACCCCTACTCCAAACACATGACACACCTTTCCTAAAAGCAGTAAGCTAAAACTAAAACTCACTCCAACAAAGCCATGACACACCCTTAGAGGTTTAAGGAGTGTGTGTTTGCTTAAAAAAAACGTTTTTCAGCTTTTGGATTAAAAAGTTGAAAAGAGTGTTTTCAAATAAATGACAGCTTCTGCTTAAATTAATCACCTAAAAGGTAAAAGCTAGAAGCAGGTAGAAGGGTGCTTTAAACTGCTTTTCATTTTTTCTATTACACAAAAAAATTACTTATTTTACCAAACACTACCAACTTTTACTTTTTGAGAATCACTTTTTTCTCAAACTCTATCAACTTTTACTATTAATCACTTTTCCCAAAAATCACTTTTTTAAAATTGAAGCAATTGCAAACACTCTCGTTTGACCACCTTATGGTTTTTGCTTTTTATGATGTACAATTTACAAAGCATCCCGCATCAAAATCATTTCTGATGCGATTAATCATGCATGTGACATCCACATTCAACTGCCTGGTAAAACACTATAACCCAATCAGGCAATCATTTAGCATTTTAGTTGTAATTATAATTCTAATATTTACGTGTCCAACTAAACGAACTGCCGGACACATTCCGTCCGAACCTTTTCAAAAATGATGAGATGACCGTAGATGACTCGGATCAATAAGTGGACCAGATTTAATTTCTTTTTAAATAAAAACTCTCTGGCTTTGTTTATTCACTTTCCCCTACCCCTTCCCCTCTACGGATAAAAAAATGACCACTGAGCTTCCTTCCCTTCCTCACTCTGTATTCATCCAGATCTCCACATCAACACCAGAATTCCAGAAAGCTCGAGAGTTGGTGCCGCCCTCTTTAGAAATGGAGGAATTAACAAAACATCTAAATCTAATTTTATCTCCCTAACAATTAAAAAAATGAGAACTTTGATGCCTACCAAAATTCGTCTTATGAGGTTTTAGACTTTTAGTTTCAGATTCCATGAAAGCTGGTTGATTATCTTTAAACCAATTTTGGGGGTGTTTGGATCTGATTCTCAAAACTGATTCTGCTCCTTCAGGGAGCAGAAGCAGAAGCTAGAGTGTTTGGGTGAAATTCCAGAAGCACTTCTGGAGCTCTAATTTACTCTCAGAATCAGTTTTTTAGAAGCTGGGGGGTACCAGCTTCTGAAAACTGATTCTGATTCTGCTTCTGCTTTTAAAAAAGAAGCAGAAGCAGAATCAGTTCCAAACACCCCCTTTGTAATTGGGTGTAGGAGAAAGAAAGAGACAAAGAGGTTAAACCTTTTATTTTTTTGGTCTTAAACCAAAAAATATGCTTACCTTTAATATTTTTTGGTCTCTGCAACAAAAGTGATCGTATGCTTACCTTTTATTTTTTGGTCTTAGACCACGAACAACCACGAGCAGTTCTAGATGACAATTGAATTCGAAAAGAAAAACAAAAAACCTAGGCTCATATTACTCATATCACAATAAAAGTTTTGGAGATTTGTGTGTAGAATAAAGCCACCGGAAAAGAAATAGAGATTATGCATATTGAATCGAGCTTCCTAATGCAAAGTGCTTTCCTGGACGCTTAATCTGTTACGTTTTGGGGACAGGCTGAGTATGAAAGAAATGACAGAAAAATAGAGGATAGAAAAGGTGCCTGCCACTTGCAATGGTATGTTTTTTATTTATTTTTAAAATTAAATCTTGATCGTGTAAATGATCCAACGGCCACGCTTTAAAAGTTCGGACGAGCTTTGTGTCCGACAGTTCGGAGGAGAGCATCATGAAGTCCTAGCCTTATTGACCATAAAATCAAAGACGCCTGCTTAAAGTTATCCTTCCAGGGTATTAAGTCAATCATTAATTATAACTTAAAGGGACTCCATGTATTTATTAGGATGTTTTCTTTTGAATTGAAATTTGTTGGTGTGAACTGATTTGATCTTGTCTAGTAAACATCTGGTCTATGTGTATTTTATAACTACGAAAATCTGGTCGGATCTGATCTTGTATGGGACTAAAAACAGTCGAAAAGAATACATCCTAAATGCCCATAAGACGCACAAGTCAGTAATGATAGACGGGTTTTACTTTCTAAACCCCAATTTTATACAAAATGCAAACCGGAGGGTTACAAAATTCACAACCTAAATAGACGCACAAGTCAGTAATGATAATGTGTGATATCAAATGTACTCGTCAAGTGCATTTCCTTCAGCATGTATGTTTCTGTTATGTCTATCAATCTCGTCCACCGCAGCAAACATTGACGGGAAGGGCTGCGACTCCGGGTGGGGGAACAATAGCTTGAGTCGGAAAGCATCAACCCCATTCAAGTAATAGCGGAAAAGCCTCTTCGCTCTGATAAACCCAAGACGCCCATAGAGTGCAAGTGCACCTTTATTGGTGACTTCTGCTTCAAGAGTCACCTGAACAAGTTCATAAAATAATGCCTCAATTAACAGTTTGATTCACATATGTGGATGAAAAGTGGGAGACCATTGAGTATATATGATGATTTGGGAAAATAAATAAATCCAATGCCAACGGAAAAAGAAAGGCAATCTATCAATGCCTGGCATAGTGGCATGATAGCCATCGCAATTTGAAAAACACAACTTTTGATCCCTCTCCTACAGTCAATTTTTTTAGCCCTCTTGTGTGAACATATAAAATCTTAACTTTTTCAAACCGATGCTGTTAGGGTTTGTTTGGAACCTATGAAATGCCATGGGAAAGAAAATAAGAGGGGAGTCTAAAGAAGGAAATATTATAATTGGGAGGAGAAATTTTATAAATGTTCAATTCAATAAATTAATTGTCGGTACTAATTTGAACTCATTTTATTTATGTACCTCTATTATATACACAATAGAAACTAAGTAATCTAAATATGTGTAAAATCTCAAAAAGATCTAATTAGACTTGAATTTCCTTTATATTTACAAAGAAACCTAACCTTCAAGGATATGTTCGGAACCCATAAATACTGACAGGAACTAGGAAAGGAAAATATTGAGAAATTTGGAATGAATGAAAATATGAGGAAAAGAAGTCAATGATTCAATCTCAATATATTTATAGCAAGTTGCTTTATTTCAAATGTATAGCATGTCCTCTGTTAGTAGCATTACCTCTTCACAGCCTGATTCCATCATCACCTTGATAGATCGTGTGACTAGTTCTGTGGCTACAACAGGGAAACAGTGTGCCATTAATAGTTTAATACACAACAGTTTAAAACTAAATCATCTTTTGTTTATACAATGGAAAGGGAAAATCTAAAACATCTAATCATAGTGAAAATTGACATTTGATAGTCTTATACTACGTATGTGATATTTATAGAGTTTACTTCATGCACATCACAATTAAATGCAGCCCAATTTCTGTGATCTTCTTAAAGTGTTCATGACCCCCAAAGTTACTCATATATGTAAATTGATTTATCAACAACTATGAGGAACCACATGAAACTTGATCCTCATCCATACTTCGACATTCTGTACTCTGTATTAAGCATGTGGAGGATAAACTGAATTATGGCTGTGTGTGTGAATGTTCATCTTGGAGTCTTGGACATCCTGTTGACTATCTTACATCCGCTGGGCACCAATTTAGAATCTGTTATAAGTTTCAGGTAAACCATAAACGACGTCTCTTGGGGATCCTTTTAGGATGGGTAGTGTCCAATTCAATCTACCCTACTTTCCCAATCGTGATAATGGTTTGTCGTATTAAACATAGTCTTGAACATAAATAAATCAGGCTCAAGCATCAAGGTCACAAGGGTGCAGCCATGCAACAGAAAAAAAATCATTATGTATTACAAGTAATAGCATTAATGGAATTTGGGAAGTAGTGAGTGAAGCGTTTCAATTTTGCAGATTTTGGCTTCAGCAGTCAATCAATCAAAATCAATCATCATTTACCCCAGTGCCGCAAAGGCTCCCACCTATGGTGGGGTAAGGGGGGTCGGATGTACGCAGTCTTACCCCTGTACTAAAGCGCAGAGAGACTGTTTCCATATGACCCATAATGAAAATCGCGTCCAAAAATTGCATTGACTGACTGCTGCTTCATAACAAAGAAGCGCAGACAGTTTGGTGAGCCATTTTGCTTTATTCCATCATATTCTCAAGCCAAAAAATAATGAATCTTTGGCTCCATTGCAAATGATGGAAAAACTAGGAGTAAAACTAGCTAAAAGTGCAAATTAGGACTATATGTTTAAAGTTCTCAAAATAGGATAAAAAACTTGTGAGTATACAAAAATGTCCTTTTAGTGTACATGAAAGACAGCCGCTGCCAACTGCCGGCTTTGCCAGGCAGCCACTAAACCCTAAGCGAGATTGATAAATTCTAGAAAGGCTAAACCAAAATCTTAAAGGGAATTGTAAACACTAAACCTTAAGGGGTAAAAAGTAATCAGGACTCTTACTTTGGGAATACAAAGCATGTACTCCTATTTTGGTACATTTACAATGTTTTGCTATTACTTGGGACAATTACTTTTAGTCTTATTATATCAAGAAATCCTGCTTTTTGTAGGAGAAAAAAATGTTTTCTTATGATCTTTTTGTAGGAGAAAAAATATTTTCTTATGATACATGGAATTACCCAAGAACCTATAACATTCTCTATAACTCCCAAACATACTTATCCACTCCACTCTCCTCTTTCTTCTACTGACACACATACTCAATCAATGTGAGAACAACGTAATACTATCAACAAACAACTCAGATAAGTGTGGAGCATTTATATTTGACAATCGAAATGGACCAATAGACAACAGATTAATAGAAAATAATTAGTTGAGATAGAGCACTAATTCCCCTGTGCTAAATGCCTAAATCATATGGTATAGGATGAGCTGGTCCAGCAGGAAGGCTATGAAGGTTTGGGCTCCACTTCAAGTCATGAAGCACCAGGTTTGCATCGGAAGTTAGGCCTGTGTGGTGATCCCATAAGAAGGAGCTTTATATTCGAATTGACGCTGCTAGGGTGGCAGCATACATTGCCTGTATGTAACTATGTATGCTTAGAAATCAGAAGCCTAGAAGGTAGTTGACTAGTTTCCTATAATAGTAATATAGTATGTATAGTAATAGACTGTTTTAAGAAAGTGGCTTCCTGCTATAATTAATAGGAAGGATTCCTGTTAAGATTGCGTGTGGTAAATGCAATACAGAAAGCTTGTTTTATACGTTAGAAATAGAAACTTCAGGCTTTTGATCACTGATCTTTTTTATATGGTGAATCTTATAAGTTATAACTACACTGTATGCCCATTCTTAAGCAAAACATTTTTTTTCGTTCTGAAGGCTTTCCTAAGATTTAGCAGACACAAGAAGAATTAACACCAACAATGTCAATAGCACAGTTTACTTATTTTTTTCTTTGAGCTGCTGTGATTCAGATTTCAGAGAAAGTAAGGTACATTGTCATGTTTCCCAACAGGCCACACACACTTTCACACTATCCCACACAAAAAGCAATGCAATTTGAAACATTTTGGATTTTATGATCTTGTGAAACAGAAAGAGAAACCAAATATGATATCTAAATCCTCCTTGAGAGAAAAATACGAAAAGCTTATACATTTTCAAAGCAAAATACCCACGAGAAGCTAAATCCTCCATTTGAGTGAAACTCAGTGTGTCAATTCGATAAAACCAACAATTTCCACATGTGAAGTCCTTTCCCAGTTCACCGCCACTCTTAACACTGAGTAAAAGAATTTAAAGAAAACATGGAACTTTATGGAAACTCACCAATGCCTTTCCCTCTATAAGACTTGACAACCACAAGCATTGCAATGTAACCTCTGAAAGTCCCTCTGTGGTCAGCCATCTTGCAAACCACAGTCCCAACACATTTACCTTCATGGAAAGCCTGAACAGATTCAAAATCATCAATGAAAAACGAAATGACAGTGAATCGATTCCTCACCATCTCCGAACGAGGAAAAGAAGCAGAAATTCTTACAAGGAAAGAAAGGTGAGGCCATAGGTAGACAAAGTAGCGGTACGTGAAAATTGAGTAGGGTTCGCTAAGCTCTTCATCAACCAGATTCATGATGAGAGGCAAGTGATGCTCGCCCTCATAATTAACGTACTCAATTTCTGACGCATCACAAATGACATTTCGTTCTTCTTTAGCTTCCTTCCCCTCCTCCATCTTAACTTTTGCTGCCTGGGCGAATACGCGGAACTGAGGTTTTTCCGTGTTTCTGCAATGCAGCGATTCCTCGTTTTCTAATTGGGGTTTTGGACCTTTTGGTCATTTTGGACACCTTTTTATTTTATTTTGAAACAATGGAAATTTGAATTTTCAAGGCAAAGTTTTTAGTTTAGGAATAAGATCGAAAAGTCTTTTTTTTTTTGAAAATCAAATAACCATTTTATTTTATTGATAATCAGATCTTAACAAGAAACATAACAACTAAAAGCCGAAACATTACAATCATAGCGTTCAATACTGCACTAGGGTGAGACAAAGAACAAAAACGTCATATAAAAGCATTCATGTTCGCTAACCCTGCAATAATGTAGACTCGTACCTTAATGTGTCTGCTCATGCTACTCGAAATGGGTTCGGCTTGACCAGCCACCAAAAACGAATTATTGAACTTGCCGGTTTTTCCAGCCACCGGTAAGAAGCCAAGTGCATAAATTGTTCCGGTTTGACCAGCCACCAGAAAGAAAGTAATCCATCCAATGTCATCTTCCTGAATTGGCGGTGGTTCAGGAGGGGGGCGATCGCCTCTATATCAATGCAGAATAAATCATGATTCATGATTGATAAAGAAGCTAATACAAACCTCTTACTAGCACACAAGAACACCCGACCGATGATGGCGGGGAATATAGATCTGGCGAGAGCCACTTCGCCACCGAAAATAATATCTCTAGACAACGCTAGAAAATAAACGTATAGATAAAACTGAAAATACTGATTAAACGAAACTTTTTCCATGATTGAAGTCAAAAGAATAGAAGAGAAGAATGAAAGAAAAGGAGGAGGAGGCTATGGTTTCCTTCGCCGCTCCTCTCTCCCCTTGTATTGCTCGATGGATAAAAAAATGTTTCTTGTTATGAAACAAGATCGAAAAGTCTTAAAGTGAATGTTTTTTTTTTACGAAAAGCGGCTTACATATAACTCAAACCATTTGGAGAGTAGGAAAACAGACAAGATAACTTAATAAAACCGCCGTCCCGCGAACCAGAGTCGGAGTCAATTACCTCAGTAATATAACTCGTTGATCCATAAATGGGCACAACTGAGCCAGTGACGGTAATCATAGTTAAATCATCCCCCACTTCCAAACCCAAACGAATCGTCTTACAATTAGAAAAACAGGAAAAACACCAAAAGGAAACACAGAACCTGTCAAAAACATAAAGAAACAACAAAAAAAGAAAACATTATCGTAAACTCGAGCCATCACCCCACAGCACCAATGAATCTCTTCCTGACTCAAAGCTTCCCAAGACGAACTTACCCCTCTAAGCCCGTCACCTCCCCATTTTTTGCACCATCTAGAGCCATCTCATCTGCACTCTAGTTTTGAGTTGTCCCTGTTTCCCAAGTGCGTCTGCGCTTCTCTCCCAAAGATTCTTCATTCTGTTTCAGAACCACTTCCTTATTGGAAGCACTACCCGAGCCATCTGAATCTTCATTATCCCCCAATGTACTTCCTCCCATCCTCTGCTCTTTCCATCCCCGCTGATCCCTCCCCGGATTAGAGCCTTCACCAATCAACCGTTTATTTTTTCTTGTCAGGCTAGTCTTCACCCCGCCTCTTACCCTAAGAGACACATCAAAGTTTTTTTCCAGCACAAGACCCTCCTCATACATAAGTGGGCAAAATTTTTCAGAATGCCCCATAACCCCGCAGATAAAGCAAAAGTTAGGTAGCTTCTCATATTGAAAGTCCACCCAATAGCTCATTCCCTCTTTTTTCAGTGTTGTACCCTTCTTCAGAGGGAACTCCACATTAATACAACCTCTAACCCGCATATACGGACTCCACTGTTCACCATAAGTATTTTTATCATATTCAACGAATCTGCCCAGAAAATTACCCACTTTTCTAGCAGTACCTAAATTCATCAAACCATAGGGAACGTTGTGAACCCTAACCCAGAATTATGCCTCATTTAGAGTAATTTTATGCGGAATATCCATTGGTTTGATTTCCTTTACAATTAATAAGTTTCTCTCAAACTGTCAAGGACCTCCATCAATCACACGCTTCATATCAACGGGGTGATCAAAGTTTAAAATATACCTTTTCTCCTCGATTTCCTTTATTTCCACCCCTCTACCCAGCCTCCACACCGATGCCATCGTCTCCTTGAAGCCTGAAAAGTTGATTTTCCGGTCCGTAATTAGGGCTCCAACCGCCGAGAACTGCGGACGAAACATCTCCCGAGCCTCCTCTTCTTCCTCAGCGTCATCACAGACCAGCTATGTTTCCTTCTCAGTCACCTTCATCCTTCGATATCTGTAGGCTATGGACTCCATCTGACTCGCAGCAATAACAAGCGCTCTCTCGGTTTATTCCAAAATTACGTGTTTCTTCCACGATCCAACCCTTCTCCCCACTTGCTTTTAAGGACTCGGACCTCTCTCCACTAACGATGCATCCGAAGAGCCACCGCGCCTCGACAAAATCGCCAAGACCGGACGAAAGACTAACGGCGCTTAGCCCTAGAAGGTTTTGGAATGATTTTTTTCTTTAAAGTGAATGTTATGAAATATAGAAATTGTTCTAAGTAAGATCAAAAATAATTAAAAAAACACAAATAGAATCACTACATTTTTTACCACCTCCCAGAACCACAATCTTCGATCGGTAAAAATTCTGCCACTTTTTATTAAAAAAATCCATCTTCCCCGAAATTGCCAAGAAAATGGCATAATTTCTCTTCATAATGTCAAAATCTCATTGAATTTGCTATTATTATGGCATTACTCGAATTGTTGGCATATTTCTTTTTTTTTTGAACAAATTAATTAAAAAAATAGTAAAATACCATAAAAAATTAAAAAAATGGATAACTCCGATCGGTGCAAATTCTGCCATTATTTATAAAAATGTCATTGTTTTCTGAAAATGCCAAAAATGGAATTATTACTCATCATAATGTCAAAATTATCATTGAATCTGTCATATCTGTCATTGTTATGGCATTACTACTAATTTTGGCAAATTTCCAACCGGTGATTGGAGGTGGTGGTGCTGGGGGTGGCAGAGGCGCCGGCATTTTTTTTTTCATTTTTAACATTTTTATTAATTTTTAATTTTCTTTTTAATTTTTTTTATTTTATAAATATTTTATAATTTTTTAAATAATTTTTGAAGTTTTTTTTTTGTGAATTTATTATTAATTAAGACATTACAAAAGCCTCAAGGGTATATTTGTCCAAATACACGTAAAATAGTCCTACTAGGGGGAATAAAAAACATGTAGTCCTATTTGTGCTCTTGGGTCACTTTATTTTTACCTACACAGGGAATTAACTCTATGAAATAAAGTTGCTTCTAAATTTTGAAGCACCGACACAAATATTACCTCTTAGCTTTTATTAGACAAAAATATGACTGGATTATGTTTTGACAAAAGAGTGACCGACCTTCCCCTTTTTCCTCTAAAAAAACCATCCGCTTCTCATTTTAATATCCGGATGCTTCTCCTTTTGCGCACGAACCCAGGGACGATGGAGCAAGACTTCGATGGTGAGAAGACCTCCATAGAAGATGACAACGACCTCCAACGAAGACGACGATGACCACCACTGTGACACCTATGAGAAGCGGCGGTGATACAACGGTGTGGCTAAGGCTTCGATGCAGCGACATTATCGAACTTATGACAGGCGGTGATTGGGCCTCCGAGGAAGCGGCGATTGGGCCTCCGAGGAAGCGGTGATTGGACCTTCGAGAAAGCGGCAATTTCGTCGTGCTGCTCCACCATCGTTGCAAAATGTGCAGGAGCTGTGGACGGAGCTAGATCGGGGTTGTTAGGGTCTGATATGGGCTAGATCGGAGCTAGTCGGGGCTAGATCGGGGCGGTTGGGGTCTGATCTGGGCTAGATCAGGGTTGGTCGGGGCTAGATTGGGGCTGTTGGGGTTTAGTTTGGGCTAGATCGGGGCTAGTTAGAGCTGGGCCGTGGACAGAGGAGGGGTGTTGGGGTGCTGGGGCATGGGGCTAGGGAAGGGCAGGTTTGTGTACGAGTAGATGGCGGGGTGGTGGGGCCGGCAAGGCGGCAGCCGACGAGCAGGTTTGATTGAAAACTATGACCTATGTCATTGACAGGCCGTGTCGGTGTCACTTTGATCAGTGTCACTGTGACTGGTGTCATTGTGGCCGGTGGCGGTGACCGACGATGATGGCGGTTGTGAACAGCGTCAGCAACGACGATTGTGACATGGCGATGGTGGCAGTGACATCCGAAAGTGACATTAAAATGGGACAGTGACGTGAATATTTGACTGTCACTTTATTGTGGTGGCAAGGGCATGAGGATGGGGAGGGATCGTAGGTGGTGTGATAGTGTCGGTGGTATGACAGTGCCGATGGGGTGTCACTGAGCGGGTGGCGGTGTCATTGTGGTTGGCGGTGGTGACTGACGGTGGTGACTGACGGTGATGGAGACACGGGCGATGACGACGATAGTGAGATTCGGCAGTGGCATACGAAAGTGACATGCAAGTTGGATAATGACATAAATTTTATGACAGTTACTTATAATAATCACATTTTTTACCAAATGTAAATGTGACCACATTTTTTAGGAAATGTGGCTTAAATTAATATCACATCATTCAGATAAGGGCTAAAAAAGACAAAGAGACCATAGGCAACCACCGACCCTCGAACCAGACCCGGAATTAACCACCCCAATAGAAGCAGTATAACTTGTTGATTCATTTATGGGCTCAACTGAGCCAAAGACGGAAAGCACAGACCTCATGTCACCCCAATCCAAACTCAAAAGACTTACAATGCATGAAAAAACCAAATAAAAAATAACAAAGTACTTAGTCCCAAAGAAAGCAAAAATCACAATAAAATAAATTACCTGTTGCGTCTTCCGAAGCATTAAGACGAGCCAGTGATCTGCGCCGCATGGAGGTGGTTCTGGAGGAGGAGCTCTACCAATGTCTACGCACTCCGAAAGAAGGCAGACAAACTTTTAACCAGATGAAGCTATTCGGAACACCAAAAGAACTCCCCACATGGAGAGAGACAAACCACCCCAGAGCAGCAGTACCCGAGAAATAACAGCCATATGACAAAATCAACACAACCCGAAGAGAAAAACAATCCAATTGAAATATACCTCTATCACGAACCTCTGAGAATTGATGTCATCATCAAATAGTTTGTATGTTGCATCACATGCATGTATTGTATTGTTCCAAGATCGAACTAAACAATTGATCGCTGCTTGCTAGTTGGCTGCTACTTGCCTACGCCGCTGAAGAGCCGCACTCCAAACCCTAATCCATAGTGGTCGCTTCACAAATGTGATCACATTTTTGAAAATTAGTTTTAGTTGATTTAGTAAAATTAAGGGAGAAACCCCTTAATAAGCTCCTAATCTAGTTTTTTAAAACCCAATGTTTTAGGTTTCTTTCTCTAAGGTTCGGTTCGGTCGCCTAGGGTAGTTTTCTTCTTCCCGATTCCTCTCCGCCTCTTAGCCGTATCGGCAAGGCAGGGATGAGGACGAAGTTTTGGTTTTTGCTGGGGTAAGATCGACTGGTACTTGGTGGCGATCGAAGGGTCTGAGCGGAGGTTTGGCTTTGATCGGAGATGGGGTTGAGCGGAGTTTTGGCAGTTTGGACGAAGGCTGCAAGTTTTTCTAATTTATGGAGGAGGTGTTGGAACAATACAAAAAGATGGCTTTGGAAAAGAATAACAACAATCTCAACTTTGATGATGAGGAGGAAGAGGTTCTTGATCCTGTTGCAAAAGAGGCGGAATACCCGGTGGTGGGCGTAATTCTCACGGATCGGAAGGTGCGAGTTCAGGCTGTGCAGGACCTATTTGCCTCAATCTGGAGGCCAGGCAGAGGAATGTCAGTCCAAGAAATTGATGACAAGGGGTATTAATTCACTTTTTACCATATACTACCTCCGTCCCCCTAAGTTTGGGACAAGAGAAGGTGACACAGTTATTAATAAAAGTGAGTTTGTGTGGTAGATATTGAATTGATAAAGTAAGAATAAAGTAGGAATAATTTAGAACCACACTGTAACACTTGAGATTTAATTTAAATGGATTAATAGTATTACTTATACTAACAAGGTGCATCTCCTTTTAAGGGAGCTCATCAGTCAAGAACTCCAATGTTAAGCGTGCTTGCACGAGAGTAGTCTTGGGATGAGTGACCCCCTGGGAAGTTTCTCAGGGCGCGCACGAGTGAGGACAAAGTGCGCGTAAAAGGCTAGTGGCGGTTTGTGAGGACAATACTAGAGGTCTGGAGGGTGTGTGGAGTAACTACCTCGGGTCCAGCGGGGACGGGGTGTTACACACACAAATTTTACCAAATAAGGTATGAGACAAACTTTGTGGGACGGACCGAAATGATAAAATGAGACAATCATAGCGGGACAGAGGGAGTAATTGATATGAATCGTGTCATGGAGGATGGTCTTTGGTTGTTTGAGAGGAATTTGTTATTGCTAAAAGTGGTTGGTCCTAATGACATCCCTCTTAAGTTGAATTTGTTTGAAGCTGAGTTTTGGGTGCAAGTGCACAATGTTCCGTATAAATTTATGAATGTAGGCACAACTAGAAAAGTGGGTAACGATATTGGGGAATTTATTAGCTTTGATGACAGTTATTCTAAGGAAAAATGGAATTCTTACTTGAGGGTTAGGGTGAAGATGGATGTGAGAAGACCCTTAAAAAAGGGATCTACTTTGTCAAAAGGAGGTGAGGGACATTGGGTAGATTTCAAGTGTGAGAAGTTACCAAAGTTTTGTTTTATTTGTGGGATAATGGGACACTGAGAAATTTTGCCCATTAAAATATGTGGAAGATATTACTCTTGAAAAAACATTAAGTGTGTAACTTAGAGCAGGAGGAATGGGAAAGACTAGCCCCACTAGAGGTAGTAAGTAGTTGGTGGATAAGGAGGGGGTCCAAGTCAACTAAGGAGGGGGGTTTATAAAGAAAATGAAGGAATTATGAGGCAGGGGCGCGTGTAGACTACATCTGAGACTGAGAACAGTGGCACAAAGGAAGAGGGTAGAAGCAGTGCAGGGGAGGTCTTGGTTGATCAGAAGCGTAGGAGAGTCTGGAAGGATCCAGCACAGAAGGACGCATCAGGAAAGGAGATGTCACTAGACATAGCAAAAAACGGGGAGGGGGCGGGTTTGAGCTCTTAGACCCGCCGGTCGCATGCATGAGGCTGTGTTTGAGGACTTTTCACTTTGGTGTTTATTTTTATGTCGTTTTTCTTATTAAGTTCCACGTTAAGACTGTTGTTTTTGGCTTTTGTTTTGTTTGGATTTGTAAGACTCTTGCATTAGGATTGAGTGATGAGAGTTCTGTAGTAACCATCGTTGGCTCAATTATGTCCAGTTTAGGATCAACAAGTTATACTGTTTTTTCAAGGGTGTTTAACTCAGAGTCTGGCCCAAGGGCGGATGATTATTGGTGATGCTTTTGTTATTTTAGTCCCTTTCTGAATGCATTTATTCTACTCCCTCTGATTCAAAAACAAGTTCCACCTTTCCTTTTCAGGCAGTTCCAAAATTAAGTTCCACTTTCAAACCTTTCCTTATTTGGCAAATTATCTACATCAAAACAGTTCCAAACAGTGTTCAAACAGTGTCAAAGTGTCTAACATTAACCAGCTGACCAAACTCAAGTTACCTCACGTTATCCATTTCTTGCAGAATTCAAGAGGGAGCAGTTGGAGAAAACTGTATTTAAATTAGGACAGTAAAACACAGTTAATTGCGGGAAAATGGCTAAGAAGAAAAGAAGAGTTCCGGATGTTCTTTGGAGGTTATTCCACAACCGTGCCCGTACCCTTTTCGAGACGATCAAATCCTTGATTCCTCCGCCGCAGACTTCGGCGGCGGATTGCCGCTGCAATGGGCGGGGATGCCTTAGTTGCGGTGGCGCTAACTCGACGGCTTTTATTCTTACACCCACCGACCCTCCGGAGTACAGAAAGCTCCTGAATCATTGCTTTGTCGTCCTTGATGAAAATGCGCCTGCGTTATCTGTCTTTCAGCCTCAACACCGGCGGTCCCAGTTTGAGGTATATCAGAACTAGGTCTCTTACTAATGCACATAATTTGCCGCTTAAATGGATTTATTTGTTTAATAAGGCTCTACTACTGCATTCCAATCCTCAATTAGGCCCAACTCCACATTAAAAAGTTACCTCATTGTCACATCATCTTCCCATTTTGGCCGACTCCGCAGCTTCTGTCAGCCACGGCCACCACCTCTGATGACCACTGGTCACTACTGACCAACACCCCACATTTCTTATTTCTTATAAATAAGATTCATATCTAGCCACTTTCTTTTTTTGACCATAACATTCATATCTTCCCATTTTTTAATTTTCTCGTCATACCCTCGATATTTTTGAAAATAATATACTATCCCAACTACTCTTTTTTGGATTTATTCTTCCCACCGTACCATCAATGATTTATGTTTCTTTCACTATTCTTAATCTCACCTACTTTTAACGGGAAGATATGAATGTTAGGGAGGTAGTAATGAATTTCTTGTTCAACTTACTTATATCTCGTCTTACAAACATCATCACATTCTCTTTACTTTTTTTTTTATTTCACACCCAGAAAGTTGTCAATACATAACTATCCAGAAAACATTTTTTTTAGGAAAACCATTCTTTTTATTTTTATGTAAATAATGCAGGGTGAGAATTGTATAGTTAATTTTCTAAATAACTTGTAATATACGAAGTAATATTTTTCCTATGTTCTTATGTTATTTTTATGTTTTACTTTTCTTATGTTCTTTTATCTTACATTTATATTTATCTTTATCTTATCCATTTTATCTTATCTTATCTTTTGATTTTTCTTATGACTCTGATATCATGGGATCGTTCATGTTAGCCAACCCCAAAATCTTTTGGGAATAAGGATTGGATGTTGTTTTATTAAACTTTTTAGATATTTTTCAAAAGAAATAATGACATGTATATTATTAAAATAAAGATAAAGGATAAAAGCGTGACCTCTTATTAACTTTTAATTACCATGATTATGTTTAATTGTACACTGTTGCCCATGATGTTACACTTATAGTAATGTTACTCGCAATGTTGTTCATGAACTTAGTTTTCAGTAATATTCAAAGAAAAACATCGAAAAACTAGGCTGCGTGCATTTTTCTTCTAAGCATAAGGTAACAAGCAAATGACCAACAATTGTGGGCTTTTTTGTAGATATTACCAAAAAACTAATTGGCCGATGACCTCGGTTATGGCATTTCTCAAGTCCGATTTTGTTCACTCCCTCCAAGGAGGGTGAACATCACTCCCTACTTCCAATGCATGCCATTTGGCATTACACCTATATTTTTTCTTAAAATTATTATAACTTTTTTTATATATAATCTAGTTTTCACAAAAAATATATTAGATTTAATAACTTTTTATGATCTTTCCAATGATATCCATATGGCATATAAAAAATTGAAAAAAACCCTTTTTTTCATAAATCTATTTTTAGCCTTTTTTTTTAATTTTACATATACAATATTGATACCATATGAAAGATCATAAAAATTAGAAATATTGATATATTTTTTGAAAATTGCAAAATTTAAAAGCCATACCATGTGGCCACCCAATAGGGTGGGGGGGGGGGATGTTCACTCTCTTTTGAGGGGGTGAACAAAATTGTTCTAGCATTTCTCTACATATTAAAAAAGGCCTTGCAGGGCAGCAGAGGTCGGGGGCAGGATCATGGCGGTGGGTGAGGGTTGGTGGAAATGTGTAAAAGAAATAAGATAGTAAAAGTAGATGATGTGACATCGAAGTGGGGATGACGTGACAATGAGTTTACGCTGACATGACAATGACGTGTGAACGAGTGGACATTTGCCCTGATAAGCTGTTGGTAATCTACTAAAATTACTAATTGGATGCTTTAAAATGGTAGTGTCTCTTGGTGTTTCATAGGTACTAGGGATTACTTAAAGATTTAGACACAAGATGTAGCCATGTAGGCCTATTAGTAATATTTTTCAAATTCATTAAATTGTGGACATATATGTGTATGATTTTTTAGATTTCATCTAAAAATTAACCTTGATGTCCTGCATGGACACTCTCCTATCCACAATTTCATTAATAAAGAAATCATTAGCCAGAGAAAGTCATAAAAAAGAAAGATTATGGTTGTGGTCATATTTAGAGAAACAACATGAGGGATAATAGCATAAATGATCCTATAACTAATGATATTAAAGCATTTTGGTACTCCAACTATTAAATGAAGGAAATCAGTACCCTAACTGTAATGAAGTGTTTCAGTTCATGGTACCACTTTAAATTGGCTTTACTTATTGTGCATTCAGACTGAAACTAATTCATGAAATATGAAATTAATTAATTCATATATCACGTTTAGAAAATTCAGATTTTAATTAGCCCGAGCCCGTCTCATGCAGAAATATTCAACATATAATTACAACTTGCTAATATTGCAGAAATATAATTACAACATATATGCAGAAATATGTAGCTAATCTAGTAATTTCAACATATGAGAATCGTACTTCAGCCACGATGAATTCATCAACTTGATAAAACAATTAATTACACAATTTTTTCTCAAATTCATAGAAGTCAAGGTAATCAATTGAAGTTATTTTGACTGGAATTTCAAAATAGTACAATTGTAAAACAATTAAATGTATTTAAAGTACCAAGTTGCATCATTCCATACTTGAGGTAACCAAATGTATCGATACCAGTAGTTACGGACTTAAGGTACTATTTATACATTAACCCTAACATGACTTTTGGTCATTGGTGAATTACTCTACTCTATGGTACAACTTAGAGAGATTAAGGCCCATAAGTCGAGTGTAAAATGTAGCTGAAATTTACCCAAAAAGCTTTAATTTATGAAATTGCTGGCATGCAACTGAGATGACATAAAGAAACAGAAAGAAATAGTATGTTAGTATCTAAAATATGAGGGTGGAGTAAAGCGGCATCCATCTGTATTTTCTCCATTTACGCTAGTACAGGGGTAAGGCTGCGCACATCTGACATCCACTTACCGCACCGTAGGTGGGAGCCTTGTGACACTGAGGTAATGTTGTTGTTGTATGCTAAAAACTAACTTCCTCAATCCTTTTCTAAATATCAGCCAATTTACGGGTATTAATCAATAATGATTTTAAGTTTTCAAGGAATTATAAGAAATTAAGAACATTTTGAAAAATATCAAATACAACAGACAACATACTCCATGTGAGTATGTCCCAAATTTTGTTATTGATGATGTAAAGTTAACTTCAAGATGCTAGACTGCTAGTACACTGGTTGGTACTTTGGTTAGTAACTTCAGGTTTATATTCATGCACTACTCCCTTCGGTGGACATGGTTATGCCATGTTATTTTACATGTCATCATAAATATACTACCTCTGCTGCACTGGGGTAATGATGATGATGATCATAAATATAGTACCTCATAGGCGAGTATTCAGCATTTTCAAGATTCAGGTAGTATTTTAAGAAGTGATACTGATACTGAAGTTTGGGACACCTTTGCTTGAGCTTTACCCTAGTGGATTGTGCATAGCTGGAGTTCCAATCTTTTGGTCTTGCTGAGTTGAATTATACTTCCCTTTTTATTTTATTATTTATATAGATCTAATCAAGGTTTTCACCTCCCTATGCTTACAGATTGTTAGAACAACAATTGAAATGATGATGTCTGAGCATCCCACCTCATCTAATTTAATTCTCCATGACTATTATAAGGTGACTACAACTATTTCTTTCACCCTTTGTTTGAGCACAATATGTTTTGGTCTTCACTCTTCATTTAAGAACTTGAAGAACATGTACCTATTAGGACTACTTTCTGACATTAATAAGTGGTTTGGTTTTATCTGACAGACGAGCTGCCCAAGTTCTATTTCTGCTCTCGATCTTCTGACATCCGAAGCATGGTGCCTTCTCTTAAAGAGGGTGAGTATTTTTGTCTTGGTGCCATCTTGGCATGCACACAGTATATACAATTGGTACTTTATCTTTATTCTGAATATATCATAACCAGGTTGGGGATGTCCTTATGGTATACATTCTGCGGAATTTTTCAATATTTTTGCCCCTTCCTCAAAATAAACTCCATCAAGTTGCAGGATTTCCTATCAGTGATCTGTGCCTCACATCTTCCAAGCGTACTGCCTGTGAGTATCACATGTCTTTATTGAGGATGACTGGATGAGCATAAATAGCATGTCTGCGCTAAATTTTAAGTTTTCAGTTGAGGTGGTAAATATGCTTCAATACGATATCAAGAGAAAAGTCAGAAACAAAAGTCTTAGGTTCAAATTCAACATGGTACCCACAATACAAATATGTCAGCATGTCTGGCCTATATAAAATTCTGGCTGATTTTGATGGGATGCATAGTGAAAATAGAATAATGTGTTTAATGACTGTCCATTTGCGGTTTTGGTGAAAATGGAAACACATCAATGTTCTTCTAGAGTTACTGCCCAAAACAACTGCTGGAAGGAGACGTCTTAAAGATAAGTTAATATCCCCTGTTGATTTAACCACTTTTTTGGAAGTATGTATGCAGTTTAATTTTCCTAGGTAAGTGCATTTTTTGGATTTCTCCTCCATCTAATTTTTCCTTCATTCATCCCCATCTCTGTGGTATACAATTATAAATTTGATTTTGTAGTTTCTTATAGATAACACATGCTTGAGTTTCTCTCTCTCACTTAATTACGGAGGATTGTGTATGTTAGTGCTATTTATAGAATTTTGTAACACTCTCAGTTTAGCTTTCTGAATATACTAATCATCTACTTCTAGTAGGCAGTGCCGGTAGTGGAAAGAGAAAAACAACTGATGAAATGTGGTCAACGTCAATGAAGCATCTATGTTCTAGGTTTGTTTGTTCTTGATTTTACCTCAGGCTAGCCTTTCCTTCATTTTAAAGGCTGATCTTATCCACCGACTGTCAGGCTAAGGATCACCAAAGAGGAGTCACCTAAAGAGACTTTGACGTCTGGTGGAGACAGCTGCATTAGTAAAGGATCACATTCACTTGCTGCTGGCCAAGTTTCCTCAAACCATTGTCTTTCATCTAATAGGAAACGGAAAAGACCGAATAGTTGGCAACGTCGGAGAAAGCGTCAACTTTTGGCAACTCACGAAGCACATTCCTTAAATCCATGCAGAAATTCAACAGAGATAGGGGAACCACCTTCTACTCTTCCACATAAAATACATGTTAGTGTAAGCTTTGCCTTAAATATGGAATTTTTAAAAACAACAGTAGGTAAATTGTCTTCATGTATACATATGCAATTTGTTCTAGTGTGTATGGTATTTAATGTTGCTTGATATTTTACAGCATCTAGTACTTTTAATGTATTAAAGATAAACTAAACATTACAAAATTATGGTTCTTTTTTATAGAATAAGTATCCTATGTCTTAAATCAATGAGTTGTTCTATTATTGATGTTCAGGAAGAAAAAAACTAAAATTAACTAAAATAGTTCATCAAGATAAACTATTTTGGATATTTCTCCTTTTACAGCTCCTTTTACGTATTATACTATCATTCATCATTCATCATCATTACCCTAGTGCCGCAAAGGCTCCCACTTTAGCCTTACCCATGTACTAAAACACAAAGAGGCTGTTTCCGAATGTCCCATAGTGAAAATCGTGTCGAAAAATTACATGGACTGACTGCTACTTCATAACAAAGAAGTGCGGACAGTTTACAGTTTAGTGGGCCATTTTGCTTTATTACATCATATTCCAAGCCAAAAAATAGTGAGTTTTTGGCTCCATTGCAAATGATAGAAAAAGTTAAGGGGGGCGAACACATATATATCTAATTAAAATATCAAAACTTTATGAAAAAATTACATATACTCCCTCCGATTCAAAAACAAGTTCCACTTCACTATTCATTGGTCAACATAAGTCACTCCTAATCTTTTATTATATATATCAAATTTTTATTAAATTGAAATTTTATTGATCAGTTTTTGTAGCGGTTTTAATGTAGTTTCTTAATATGTAAATTTTACGATAGTATTTACTAAAAATAATCCGAGTGTGAACAGGGATCGAGTTGCTTTATCGTCAGTCAAGCATCGTAAACCGAACTGGAACTTGTTTTTGAATCGGAGGGAGTATAATAGAAAAATTTAAAGTTTCAAGCCCCCCCCCAAATACATCCATGTGTGCAACTACTACCAGTTTCTTTAATAGCTCTTAGCTCTTGTCTTACCAGTTCATTTCCTGTTAACTTTAAGTATCAGCATTCGGTGTTAAGTGAAACTTATCAACTTTTATATCAACAGACAGTGGGGTGGTGCTCTTGTTGCCTTGTGTTTTGTAATCCATTGAAAGACATAGATGAGGTAATTATCAGTAGAAACGCCATGTTGTACAAGTTAGAGAATTGTTCAACTGTCTTTCCAAGAAAACGTATCCTTTTGTATTGCACATCTGTAATAATTTGCGTATCATGTCTTTCAAATTTGATTGAGTGCCCTTCTATTCCCATTGTTACTTGAAAGTATATATGGAGAACTACACACTACCTTCGTCCCCTAAAGAAGTTTCTCGTTTGACCATCAGAGAGTAAATAAGACTTTTTTCTCTTTGAATCCTGAAGGAGAAGGGGAGCCTTGACCCACCGGTTACGGTGTTGCTGTGTGACTGAGAGGTCACAGATTCAAGTCGTGTGACTGAGAGGGCACAGGTTCAAGTCTTGGGAGCAGCCTCTTGTCAAAAGGACAAGAAAAGACTTGCCCATTATACACTTTTGTGGTTGGAATCTTCCCCGGACCCTCGCCTTGCAGGAATGCCAATGTGCACCAGGCTGCCCCCCGAATTCCTGAAGGAGACATTAGAGTATACTGTTTTGACACAATGCAATTAATGCTACTTGAGGGTAGTAGAGTAAGCTGACAGTTTTCTTTACCAAGTAAGGAAAGAGGATATTGCTTTATTTAGGGACTTCCCAAAATTTAATACTACGTACAACTTTAAATTCGGACGAAGAGAGTATTACTCTAATTCTTTACTACTCCTCGTGTCTCCAAATTATCTTCCAACTTTCCTTTTCGTTTTGTTCCAAAATAATTTCCTCTTTCCTTTTTTGGCAAAGAATTTGTGGTTCACAACATTTCTACACATTTCTCTCTCCTCTACCCAACTCTCCACGACACAATTCTCACTTTCTTATCCACGTGCAAAACCCTATTTGGAAGATAATTCAGGGACGGAGGGAGTAATTATTATTCTCAAACATCTGTCACATGACAACTCCCTTGTGCACCAACTCTTTTAGGCATGACTGCATGAAATTGTAAAAGTTACCCCCCTGTATCTGTAGAATGTGTTTACCACTTAAAAAATGGTCAGATATACTGAATTCCTTGAAGCACAACTCTTCTGGTGCAAACAATCTCTTCAACGAAATTTTTGGATCTTGTGGTGTAACGATCAATGGACAAATTTCTCCATGTGTACATACCATCAAGTGCTGTTGTACCAGAGCAACATGCTTGTGAGCTATGCTTACTCTATGTTCTTCCTATCTTTTCACTTTATTTTATTCACTTTTAGTGTTTATGGCTCTGACAGAATTGTAGAGTAGTTTGTTAGGCATTTCCAATCTTTGTAATGCACCATATGCAAGTCTTATTCATTTTTCTTTGAGAAACTTTCGTTGACTGTGTTGGTGATGTTAAGATCATCACGTGAACTATAGATGCTTCAAATTGCAAGACAGTATGGGTCAAGATTGGGGGCTAACTGTGCGGCTATATAGCGGACAATATTCTGAGTAGCAAGAAGAATATAGAAATGTAATCTAATATAGTATATATTGCTACCCTCCATTACATCGAGAATCACACTTTATACTCAAGAGTACAACTATAGTGTTAGAAATATCACGGTTTCACAGACATGGGGAGGTATCAAAGGACAAACATGCACACCAGTACTTAACAATAACCATGTGCTAAAAGCCTAAAAGTCTAGTTGTTCTTGTGGTAGTATAAGCAAGATTTGAAGGCATGATTGTATACAGAAACAACAGTTGGTGGAGAAGAAATAGAATTGGTCTTTCTTAAACAAAGGACAAACACAGACACACACAACATATAAGAACCTTTTTATTGCTATTCTGCTTGGGAGCATAGTTATATAACAAAATCTGAAAAAACAGTAGAACTAATGATTATTGCCCTTACACTAAAACCAGGCCATGGTTCATCTGGATTAATTATTTAATATGACATACCAATATACCATGCATTAAATGGGTAAAAGTGTAAAACTGTGTCATTTTTTATCAAATGCGATCATCTGGGTCTCTTTCAAGTCTTAGTCTTTGAATTTTATTTTTAACACAATTGCTATTGCTCCTCTAGATATCACTCACTTATTCGGATGCTTGAAGTTCTCATACGTAAGTCTCAGTGCTGTCGGCACTTACGGTTATTGGAGAAGCACTGTCCTATTCCATCCTTGGATGAGGTTTTGGAAAGAGTTTCATTTGAGGATTATCAGGTTAGTTATGTTATTTTAAAGTGTCTTTGTTTAATCTAATTCAAAATGAGTGATTAGTGCTCTTGTATATGCTGTGTTTGAAGGCGTGAGGTTATCCCATTAGCATCATACACTTGGAATAAAAAGGTAGCCAATATTGGTATTAAATGATGTCGACTTCAGATAATTTCGGAAAATTTTACTAATCCTTGGACTTAGTTCTCCTAAATATATTAATGTAAATTTCTAAGTACGTCCACATGAAATTTAAATAACCCAGCACCCCTAAAAAATCCCTTACAAAATGTGTTTTCTTCCTTGTTCTACTAGACAATCAGAGTTGTTCTTCTGTCTGCATGCTTTGACTGTCATTTTTGAGTAATTGGAGTATGTATCTTGTATATTTGTACCCCACTACTGCTTTATTTAATTATCAACCACTGTTTATTGTGGAAAACTGCTAACAGTTATCTGTGAAAAAAATTCTGATTACTGAATTCAGGGAAATCAGTCTACGGTGAATCCAGGTGCAAAAGATCCGAAGCATAGTGATGAATTAATGGGAGATAGTTTTAGCTCAGAAACTCGTGAAAGATCCGAAGCACAGCATTCTAAGATAAGACCAAGTGTATGTTATTCTCTGAAGAAACAAGTTGTATCATTTATTTGGGCAGTTTGTCGGAATATTGTGCCCCCAGATTTATTAGGAATTCCTTCGAATTGGCGAATTCTGACGAAGAATATCTCCAGGCTCATTCAGATGCGCAGATATGAGAAATTCTCTTTTAATCACTGTCTGCATAAAGTGAAAATATCTAGGTTTCCTCTGCTTTCAGGTATGTTCAAAGATTGTGGTGGAATTGGGGCCTTAGATGTTGTGAAACATAAAGTCCTACATTGCTGGATATTTTGGTTCTTTTCATATCTTGTAGTGCCACTGGTGCAAGCCAACTTTTATGTAACTGAAACTGAACACGAGAATCAAGAGGTCCTCTATTATCGGAAGTCTATTTGGAATCAGGTAAAGGCTGAAGGTAGGGCTAGCTTAAATGATCAGCAGTTTCTTGAATTGGATGTTCCTTCTGTTTCGAAAATCTTGAGGAACAGAGCATTTGGTTTTTCTAGGGCTCGGTTTCGTCCAAAGAAAAATGGGTTAAGGATATTGGAAAACCTGAAAGCACCATCAAGAATTCGCGTGAAGCTGGCTTCCCAATTCAGTGATCTGAAAAAGGCATATCCAATGGGAAAGGTCAAATATGAATATTTTAGGTCAGTGAATTGTGCTCTTCGTGATTTGCATGCAGTGCTAAAAGGAGCACAAGTAAAAGAACCAGTGAAACTGGGGTCATCAGTGTTTAATTATAATGATGTCTACAATAAGCTTGTTCCTTTCCTGATGAATATTAAGAATGGTTCGGCAACAATACCTGATGCATACATCATTGTATCAGATGTAGCCAAAGCTTTTGACACCATAAACCAGGATAAGTTGTTGACCGTGATGGAGAGTATTGTATCAGACGAAGAATATGCCTTAGAAAAAAGTTTCCAAGTTGTCTGCACAAAGAGATCTTTGTGGGTCAATCAGAATCTGACACTTGCACATGATAATATTATACCCTCCAATGCTTTTCGTCCATTGCATCACGTTTTTGTGAAACAGGTATCATCATAACTTTGGACCACGGACCACCAAATCAGAAGAGTAAAAAGTACAGGCCTTTTACTTATTCCACTACTAACTCTATTATTTTACTAAAGATGGTGTCTTTTATCCATCTTTCATCCTAACTCTAGTTCCTTTTTTGTTCTTCTATATTCCCCAAAATATAATATATGAACCATATAGTTGGTTAAAACTTAAAAGGAGACTGGGAGAGTAAGTTTTTCTAAGTTTCTGTCAGCAAAAGTCTTATATCGTTTGATATGTCATTTAGTGGCCAGAATAAATAATATTTAGCACAGCAGGAGGCCCCCCCCAACACACAAAAAGGGAGAAAAAACGGAGTATTGTTTTTTAAAATAAGTCAAAAAGCATGACTGGATGTTTTTATTATCATTTTCTTTGAACGCCACAATGTAATGTATCAAATATTTTTTACTTCAGGTTTTATATACAGTAACATGTGGGTGTATTAATGGTTCAAGTTAGGGAAATCACGTCACTGGTCATTTAAATTCATATTTTCATTGTTCTAATAAAGCTGAAGCATGGAAAGTTGATTAACTGATGTATACAGTTTGAAATTTATGGTCTTAAGTTGCAGCATATATTGATATTGTACTATATTACATGCTACAGGAGAGAGGCAGAAATGTGAAGAAGGGTGAGCTTACCTTTTACTTGAATGAGCACATAAAACGCAATGTGCTTCTCATGGATACCAAATTCTACTTGCAATGCCTTGGCATTCCCCAAGGAAGTGTTATATCTTCTCTGCTATGCTCATTCTACTATGGATACCTTGAAAATAATCTGATTTTTCCTTTTCTTGAGAAACTTTGTAAGTCTGGCAATGGATGTGAAGATGAACTTGTAGAACATATGCCGAAGTATCTTCTCCTTAGGTTAATAGATGACTTTCTATTTATATCAACCTCTAGGCTCCAAGCTTCTAGTTTTTTCTGCCGATTGCGTAGAGGGTTTCATGAGTTCAACTGCTACATGAATGAAGAAAAATTTGGGTTGAACTTTGATATGAATCATCTCTTAGGCTTGCGATCCAATAGACTATATGCTGGAGATGATGGAATCTCATTTCTTAGATGGAGTGGGTTATTTGTTAACTGTTGCACTCTAGAAATTCAAGCAGATTATACAAGGTCAGTTTCATGCTCTAATCATAATTGTGCGTATGAAATCTATTACTACCTTTGCCTAAAAAAGAGTATCAATTTCACCAAGGTACAACTCTTTAATTTTTCTAAAGGTATAAGTATTGGAAATAATCAAGGCTAAATGCCAAGAATATTACCTCTACACTTTTAGAAGACAAAAATATGAATAGTTTCAGAATGTGACTAATCTTTGTTTAATTTATAATATATTTTTCTTTTAGTTCTAATTCCTACCCTGCCCTTCCCCTGCCTCCTCCACATCAACTGCCAGCGGACACCGCCGGCCGCTGAAAAAGTTGCCGGAAAATTTCAACAGATTTTATTTTCATTTTTTATCAAATTTTTGCCAAAATATCCAAGGGTCACAGTGACTTGTTTAATGGCGGCATTGACATCTGCTGCGGCGACGATGACATCTGTTACTTACATAAAAATAAGGCAGTGACATTATGAGTCCGTTTGTTAATACCAAAATTGGCTGAATCGGTTGATTGCGAAACTTATGAAGATCTGGTTGAAGTGGCTGAATTGACTGATTCTGCTAATTTATGTAAAAACTATATTTAAAATATATTTTATTTATATATAAAGAAAAAAATATATGAAAAGATACCTAAAATGGTCTTCTACAAGAACTTCAGCCAATACAGTCAGAAAAGTAACTCCAACCTTACGTTTTCATATTATTCCACAATTCAGCGCGTGAAATCAAAAGTTTTGTGTTTGGTGAAAAAGTTGGCTGATTAGCTTGATAAACTGAAAAACGGGCTCACCATACGGGCTCACCATACGGGCTCTGTGTCATTCCAAATTTATTACCTTGTTTGTCACATTTGTGTCCATATGTACACACGTAGTCACTTTTTTTTGGAAATAACCTTAAATGTAGTCATATTTTAGGAAAAACCCCACTAATCCATTCTAGATTTCTGGCTATATTTCCAAACTTATCACTTCCTTTAGAGCCCGTTTGGTAGCACGAAAATCGGCTGTTTTAGCTGATTCTGCTGAAATTTATGAAGTTCTGGCTGAAGTGGCTGCATTGGCTGATTCTGTTGATTTAAGAAAAAAATATTTTATAAATATATTTTATTAATAAAATAAAGAAAAAATTATATGTAAAAATAGCTAAAATAGTCGTCTACAGTAACTTTAGCCAATACAGCCAGAAAAGTAACTTCAACCTTACTTTTTCTGCTTATTACACAATTCAGCGCGCGAAAGCAAATGTTGCGTGTTTGGTGAAAAAGCTGTCTGATAAGCCTGATAAGCCAAAAAAACTGGGTTGCCAAACGGGCTCTTAATTTTCCATCATTTGCAATGAAGCCAAACACTCGCTATTTTTTGTCTTGGGAATTGGGAATATGATGGAATAAAGCAAAATGACTTTTGCGGCACTGGGGTAATGATGATGATGATCAACTGGTTTAACAAATTTGAGCATATTTAGCTTCTGTGAAACATTAAGAAATATTAATATTAGAAAAATTAGCTTCTTTTGTTCAAATAGGGATCTTTTTTGGAGGACAAAATTTAGAATTCGAAGTGGTATTTTTTTTGGAGTATAAGAGTAGCTTGGCGTTATTTGTTACTGGCAAACGCACACTGCTTAGACGAAGGATGTTTTCACTGCAAAACATATTGGGAAATGATTTTTTTTTCCAATAAGGTATTTGAGTATGCATTTGAGCTCAACACAAACTGTCATCTGGAAAGGTAGACCGGTTCGTGAGTTGAAATCAAAGTTGTGTCGCTATCTGCGCCCCAAGTGCCATCCCATATTTTTTGACTCAAACATAAACTCGGCGGCTGTAGTCAGACTTAATATATACCAAGCTTTTCTGCTTTGTGCCATGAAGTTCCACTGCTACATCTCTGATCTTGCTAGAATAGCAAGGCTAAGCACCAAGTCATATTTTGATGTTCTGGAAACCTCTTTGAGGTATGCATCTTTTTCTATGGCTCAACACTTGTGGTAATGTTACAAAACAAGAACGAGGGAAGTTTGAGTGGCACTAATATTTCTCCCATTTGTCCCAAAACAAACTTCATTTTCCTTTTATGGGAAATAATTTGTGATACATATTATTTCTCTCTCCTCTGCACAACTCTCAATTACACAAGACTCACATTATTAATCTATGTGATTAAGTGGCTCTGTGACTCTGTTTGGTAGCCTTATCTGGCTTATTATTTTCCTATCTGCAGAATGAGCAAGATAAGAAGTAACTTTTGACTTGTTTATTTTATTGAAATACTTTTACTTTAAGAATTTGCAGTACTGAGGTATTAACCAAACCCTTTTATTTTAAGAAAACTAGCAAACTCAGTCATTTTAGCCTATAGATACTTACCAAACTTGCCCTATATATTTCATGCTAGTGATGAACAAATTATATATGCTTAAATTGTCCCCTCCCCCACTTTGGTTAAAGTTGTTGGCTTTGTCATCTTTTAGGCATATGAAGAAGCGCATAAAGCACATTAAGAAGTTTACTTCTGAAATTCCGCCTATTATTGAAGTGGAGATGGGAGAAATCGAATGGCTTGGGTTAATTGCTTATATTAGAGTGCTGATGAGGAAGCAATCACGTTATAGAGAATTACTACCCTTACTAAAGTCTAAGCTGATGGCAGTTAGATACCCAGAATCTTTGTCTCCAGCTCTCAAGTATGCCACTGATGACATACACTCCTCTACGCTTTGGAAGATTAGGTACTAACTGACTGGTTTCAGGAGCAGAAGTACTTTCTCTTCTTTTGAATGTTCACCTCATCTAATGAGTTACCTTAACCTTATTAATATTCCATTTATAAGGTCTGAACTCAAGATATTGTTCATGTATGGGAATTTGAACTCGGATAACCTTAATATCAGTTGTTGAATGTGCCATCGAATGATTCTACTGAGTTTCAAAAGAATCAAAAGAGACTGTTCTACTCTTGGTCCTCGATCTAAAATTGGCCAGTTTTGGTCCCCAACAGTTGAGAAGTTTTTACTTTTGGTCAACCTATGAAATAGATAAAAAGTATACAGCGTATAAGTGTATAACGAGCAGTAGCACTTTTGGAGTTGTTATCTTCTTCTTTAGGGGAATTTGACTTTGCATCCCATGTTTTGAGCAATATTGGATTTTGCACCCCAGTTTCAAAATCATTAATATTTGCACCCCATTAGTAGGGATGGACCGGACCCGGTCCGGTTCCGGTTCGAACCTGGGCCCGGCCGGGCTTGGCATGTTTTAGGTAAGGCCTGGAGTCTACTGGCCGGTTCATATTTTTTTTTTGTGTTTTCTTATTTATTTCAACCCTACCCCCATCCCCCAAACCCCTCGGAAATACCCAGCCCAAACCCAAAAAAAGAAAAAAAAGGTCCGGACTGGTCGGGCCGATTCGCCTTTTTCAGGAACCAGAACCGGTTACCCCCTCGGTTTGGGCCTAGGCCCGGAACCGGAACCGGTTTCCCAGGTCGGGCCGGGCCGGGTACAAACAGTACCGGTCCGGACCGGTCCGGTTGGCCCGGAACCGGTCCATTCCTACACATTAGCAAATATTAGTGAGATGCAAAGTCAAATGATTTTATAGTGAAGTCAGTGTGATTTTAAAAATAGGGTAAAAGGTCAAACATCACTCAGAAAATGGGGTGAAAAGGTGAAAGTCTCTCTTCTTTTACTTTCGCTGCTTCTCAGTTCACATTATTGCTTTCTTGTCATTCATTTCCTCCTCCCACCACCAACGCAAAAACCTGCTGATAATATTACTATAAGGATGGGCCACCAGTCACCACACTACCACATGAATAATATTTTGAACTTTTTTAAAAAAATGGTATTACTCCCTCCCGTCTTTTACTCATTGCTCTACTCTTCTTCAGTTCTTCTATGCAAGTTCTTAATTACTTGTTAAAAAGGTGTGATCTTATCTAATTACATAAATAACCTTATTTTAAAATTTTCTTTTCTGTTATTTTAACCAGTCTTTCATTATTATACATGACTAGATGTTGCAACACTTTTTACTAGTAAAAGCTTAAAATGCCTATAGAAATAACTAAACAAATGCTGCAACATTTGTGTGGACCGGGTAGACGGGCTGGCGGCCCGGCCCGACCCGGTTTTGTGCAAGTCTAGATGGGAGGGGTATCAATGTATCATTTTGAAATCACAATGAAGGCAAATTGGACTAAGACGTGCATTGTGTGCATAAATAAGATCGGTCTAATTTTGTACTTCAATCAAAATTAAGTAATAAAGTGTTCTCTTTTTAGATTAGAATGAGTCCTAGTAGTCATGGACCCGGTTCGGGCCGCCCGGCCCGGGACCGGCCCGGACCGGGACCGGCCCAGACCGGGACCGGCCCGACCCGCTACTGTGCGGAACTGGAACCGGCCTGGTTCTCGGGTCCGGGTCGGGCCTAGGCCCGATGGGGGGGGGGGGGGTCCGGGCTCGGGCCTTGTATTTGGCGAACCGGCCCGGCCGGGTCGGGCCCGGGTTCGGGCCGAATTGATGTTTTTTTTTCAATTTTTTTGTTTCATTTTTTGGGGTTACCCGGGTTGGGCTTGATGGTTAGGAGGGGTTTGGGGGGTTTGGGGGTGGGGGGTTAGGAAAGCAAAAAAAAAAAAACGACCAAGTCTCGGCCAGGCCCGACCCGGGTCCATGACAAAGTCCTAGTTGTAGTGGACTTAAAAGCCTAGCTAGGGTGCAAGTTTTCCTCAAGCTGTCATCGGTGGAAGGTAGTGAGGCTGAGGCGGTTGAGCTCTTCGTTTGGTGACGGCAATGGAAGCGACGAGCCTAGAACAAGGTGGAGGAGGTGGGGGTGTTCTGTTTCATCAGGGGATGGTAATAATTTTGTGACTACTTTATTATAGATACCTCTAAATTTAAGTTGTGGACAATAATTACATAGTTTCATGAAGAAATGAATCAATGATTGAATAATGTGTGGAATAATGGAACAGGTTGCCCTCTAAGGAGCCCTGACTGATGTATATATAATAAAATAATTGTCACAAATACAATTGGGCTAAGCCCACTATTACACCCCCTCATGCTGTGCGGAAGATACAACGCGCAGGTTGTTTTTAAGGAAATTAAATTGCTGACTAGAAAGACTTTTTGTAAAAATATCAGCAAGTTGAAGATGAGTTGGAATGTATTTGACAACCAGATCACCATGTGCCACTCTTTCACGAACAAAATGATAATCAATCTGAATATGCTTACTCCGAGCATGCTGAATAGATTAACAGTCAAGTATGAAGCTGAGATGTTGTCACAGAAAAGTTGTACAAGTGCGGTAATAGAAAATCCAAGCTCAAACAAAATAGATCTCACATGTAAGGTGTCCTGGACCGTATAAGCTATAGCACGATACTCAGCTTCGGTAGACGACTTGGAGACGGTAGGCTGCTTTTTGGATTTCCAAGAGATAAGATTAGGACCTAAGAAAACAGCAAACCCAGTAGTGGAGCGAGAACTATCCGGACACCCTGCCCAATCAGCATCAGAATAAGCCATAATATAGGTGGGTCGAGCAGATGCCTGGAGCCAGAGACCATGATCAAGAGTGCCCTGCAGATATCTAAATATACGCTTGACAGCAAGCATGTGAGTAGTACGGGGAGCATGCATAAATTGAGACACTAAATGTACTGCATAAGTAATGTCAGGTCGTGTCAAAGTTAAATATTGTAATGCACCAACCATACTGCGGTACTCAGTGGCATCTGCAAGAAGCTCACCATCAATGAGAGAGAGAGTGGTACGAGTAGCAAGGGGGGTACGAACAGACTTGAGAGTGCGTAGGTGAAAGCGAGTGAGAAGATCAGATACATATTTATGCTGAGAAAGAAAAAGACTCATAGGAGTTCGAATAGACTGAACCCCAAGAAAATAATGCAAATCACCTAAATCTTTCATAGCAAAGTGACTAGCAATAAGGACAATGAAAGAATTTACCAAGGATGGAGAAGAGCCAGTAATAATTATATCATCTACATATAATAATAAATAAATGACAGAATTATTATGGCGATAAATAAAGAGAGAATGATCAGACTTACTACACACAAAATTATGCGTAAGTAAAAAGCTAGAAAATCTGTGAAACCAAGCTCGCGGGGCTTGCTTGAGGCCATAGATTGCCTTACGCAAGCGACACAAATGAGTAGGGAACTGGGGATGAATAAAACCCTGCGGTTGACGCATGTAGACTTCTTCTGTGAGATATCCATGTAAAAAAGCATTTTTAACATCTAACTGACGCATAACCCACCCAAAAGAAATAGCAAGAGTTAGAACCAAACAAACCGTGGTGGGTTTAACAACAGGACTAAATGTCTCAGAAAAATCAACCCCAGCCTGTTGATTAAAACCCTAGGCCACTAAACGTGCTTTATTACGCTCAAGAAAACCATCTGAATGGTATTTAGTTTTCTAAGGAGCCCTGACTGATGTATATATAATAAAATAATTATCACAAATACAATTGGGCTAAGCCCACTATTATAATGAAGCATAATGCAACATTCAATTATAAATAACTTCACAAAAATACCGAATAACTCATTTATATATTCACTTGAAGTGAACGTATGGCCACACAAACCAAATAGATATATAAATGCTTTAGGCTTTGTATTTATCTATATATATCTATAGAGGAATGCTCAGGTCCATCCGGAGGGACGGGAGGTGCCGTCCGAACTTTACTATTTGGGGTGGTTCCTGGTGGAACTTTTTGATGAAAATTTTTGAGCATGTTACTCATCAAGTCTAGTTTATCCATTCCAAATTTCAGCTCAAAATTCGATCGGGAAGGCATTCAAATAAATTCTTGAAACATACTGCACATTCTGCTCACATATAATGTGCAGTATGTTTCAAGAATTTATTTGAATGCCTTCCCGATCGAATTTTGAGCTAATATTTGGTATGGATAAACTAGACTTGATGAGGAACATGCTCAAAAAATTTCATCAAAAAATTCCACCGGGAACCGCCTCAAACAGTAAAGTTCGTACGGAGCCCCCCGTCCCTCTGGATGGACCTGAGCATTCCTCTATATCTACAATCTACAATGGTAAAAGAGCACGTCTCGTTTTTTTTTTTGCTTCAAATGATGCTTAATTAGTGTTATAATTGCAAGACATAGTCATTTTATTGTTCTCGCCTAAAATATTAGAGTGCCAGTTTGAATGATGAACTTTATAAGGATTATGAAATAGAACATTTTGAATGATGAGCTTTAATAGGTCAGAAAGATTTGTCAAAAAAAGAATTATGAAAAACCACCCTTTTAGTATATGGATCAATGCTTTAAGAGTATGTTATTATTGGAAGTTTGTATAGTGCAAAATAAATTTGAAGACTAGACTAAGTAGTGCGTTGTCCGTACAATGGTGGATTTTTACTAAACCTTTCTATATTATGCTAATGAGATCTAGAAGAGTTACGGTTAGGGATGGACTCGGGCCGGGTCGGGCCTGGGCGGTGACGGGATTGAAAATTGGAGCTCGATACTGGCCCGAGTATGCTCCAGGACCAGGACCGGTCCGAACCCAAACAGTATCGGGCCGGGTTTGGCCTATGTCGGCTAATTTTTTTTAAAAGCAGTGCAGTTTGGCCCGGGCCTGGCCCGGATTGGGCAGTCCCGTCCCAACCCATCTCTAGTTACGGACACTTGCAATAGCTCGTCAATCAAAATTGCTCAAATAGTGGATGAAAAATGCTTTTTGTACGTATTTTTGGGTACACAATTTGTACATTCGTTTGTCTCACGCACAAAAAATTGTCTGTCCACAGACAACTCTGTAAAATTGTCTGTGAACAGACAATTTTTTGTGCGTGAGACAGACGAGTGTACAAAAGGTGTACACAAAAATATGTACACCTAGCACAACTAGTTGGATACTTATTTGTCACTTCAACTTTGTAAAATATGCATAATTTATGAGATATACACCTGTTAGCTAAGGCTTCTCTCAGACAATTTTGATAATTTCTTCTTCTCAGACAATTTCCTAGGACATGCAATTGAAAGCGACCGACGCCCTCCTTTATCAAACCAAGAAGAAACCGAGAACTCCACATTCAACAGATCGATTTGCCCCAAAGCAAAGTTCGTCACCCTAGAGAACTGCCTACCAACAGATAACCTAAACACGCAGCTCAAACTTTACAGAAAATCTGAGCAAAACAAAAGACGTCACAACATGAGAAAACTAGATCACAGTCCAAATATTTCCCTTGGATATAGTTTTAGTTTTTCATATTCCCTTTTCTTCTATGTGTTTTTTTTTAAAAAAAAATGGGTTATACCCCTTTCTCCTTTATTTTCTCAATTCTTAAAACTCACACCAAACTTGAGTGTATTTTACATCATGGAACATGTAGTACAAATAATAGTCTTCAAAATCATCAACTTATCGAATTCAAACAACATAATTTATCTTAATATTGCACTTAACATACAAATGATTAACCTATACTGATATACGGTATTGATTTTACATTAAGGACAACAATTTTGAATAGTTTGCGCCGAATTACCGGTTTCAGAGATTGTCGTGAGTCTTAATTTTTGAGTTCGGTAATGATATTTTTAGGATGCTTTTACTTGGATTGTAATATGTCCCAGACCAGACTAGACCAGTCCAGACCAGACTTGAATAGTTATAAAAATACAAATAAACCCGCCAGTCCAAATCAGACCTGACCAGCAAATTTCAGTCCAAGTAAAAACATGACCACCTTAATCGATAACATCTGACGATCAATTTGGTTTCCGAATCTCCATTCAATTTTTCCACCTCTATTAAAAACACAATTTTGAGCTAGCGATTAATAATAATGACATAACTTTATGGGTATTAGTTAGGCTATGTTTGGTACAATTAGCTGAAAAGATTTTTTTGTGAGTTTTTTAGTAACTGTTAGCTTTTAATGACTTAATAGATCTTAAAAGTAAAAGGTGGTAGCTGTTTGGTAAAAAGCTGACTGTTTGATTTAGTTCTGTTTGGCATACAAGCTGTTAGGATTTATTAAAGCTAAAAGTCACAGACTTTTCTCAGATGCTACTACCTGTAACATCTCAAAAAAGAGCTTTTATTTTTTGAAAAGCTCTTAAAAAATTGGCGTGCCAAACAAACAACTAACAACTTTTAGAGACTTTTTAAATAGTACAAAAGCCAAAAGCTATAGACTTATGTCAGCCAAACATAGTACTCCTATTAACTAATGGGAAAAGGGGCAAATAAGCCCTCGAACTAATAAAAAAAGTGCAAATAAGCCCTTTTGTAGGAGGTTTCGTCTGTGTATCGTCATTTGGGGAGGTTCTCAGTGGAATTTTTTTATGAATTTTTTTTAGCATTTTATTCATTAAGTCTAGTTTAGTCATACCGAATTTCAGTTAAAAAATCAATCGGGAAGACAGTTAAATGAATTTTTGAAGATAACTGCGCAGTTAAACAACACAGTGTAGTTCCGAAAATCATTTGAGTGCCTTACCGGTTGACTTTTTAGCTGAAATTTGGTATGACTAAACTAGACTTCATGAAGAAGATGCTCAAAAAAATTCATCAAAAAATTCCACCGAAAACCTCCCCAAATGACGATAGACAGACGAAACCTCCTACAAAAGGGCTTATTTGCACTTTTTTTATTAGTTCGAGGGCTTATTTGCCCCTTTTCCCATTAACTAATTAATTAATTAGTTAATACTCCGTAGACCGTAGTTGAGGAGGCCTAACGGAGTGAGTGCTACAGTAGCGGTCTTTCTATAGGCTAAACTCTTCGAACTTTTTTCCGGTTTAGTTGTCAAACCCTTGTTTTTTAGCCTGCAGATTCTCCTCTCTTCAGCGCACGGTTCAGTTTAGGAGAAAGCGTTGCTTTCTGAAATGGCTGCAATCGCAGGACGTGCTGGATCAAAGGGCTTGTCATTCCTCCACAAAGCCCTCACTTCGGCCGAAAGATCTAACCTTCGTCGATCCTTTGTCTGCCCTACTCTTTCCAATCACGAGGTAAACGGTGATTGATCAATGGAACTGATATCAGATTTTCATTCAAATATGATATTGTTAAGTTTTCTGTTTGTAGTGTGTTACGTGCCTTGTTTGAGTACCCCGGGCTTGGGTATAGATTTTTCTGCTAAGATTTAGATTTGCCTTTTCAAATTTTTGTTTCTTTGTTGTTTTCCTTAGCATTGCTTACATAGCAGAAATCTGTTGGAATGAATCTATCTAATACCATTTATTAGCTTGAAAAAGCGCTTAGTTGCCGTTCACGAAGACACTCTTTTCTATCTCTTTACATTTGACAGAATTCAATCAAACCAGGATCAAAGAAAATATTACTTAATGAAAATAGTGCTCAGGGTTAAACAAATTAGAATCTTATGCAGTGAGGTAATATGGATTAAATGAAAGGAGCCCTTTTAATACCCAGTCATGCCTCTAAGAAACGCCCTGTGATATCATGTTGTTTGCAAATTAGACTAGCAGAGAGCCAACCCTATTGGATTTTGGTTGTTTTGTTTGTCATGAATCATAATTGATGAATTGATGCAGCTTAATTTTGTAACTTTTTTGGATTGTAATTTATCAAGCTATTTATGGTTGGAATAAAATGACAAATTGCTAATAAAATTATAACAATGTGAACATTGTTCATTGTATATTTGTATTTAACTTTTGTTGATTTCTCATAGGCTAATAGCCTTCTAGGCGTAACTTAATTGGTTAATAAACAATGGCGTAGCCAGGGGTGCAAATTGGGCTTGGCCGATACAAAGATTTATTTGGAATTTTTTTAACATATTTTGTTACACTGATATTCAAACAATTTTTTAAATTTGGGGTGGGCTGGGGTTTGCCATGGCCCCCCTAGCTTCACCCATGTTAATTAAAAATATTACCTGTCTTGCTTGCAGCTATTGAGAAATTATGCAACCGCCCCTGCTTCGAAAGAACAAAAAGTTAAGGTATGCTGTGAAGCCAGTGATCATTTACTTCAAATAATCTCTTTGATACAAGTATATAGCACTGAGTTACTTTAGCACATAACACTCTCTACTGGGTTTCAGGTGCCCTTGACAATGTATGGGGTTTCTGGAAACTATGCCTCTGCTTTGTACCTTGCAGCTGTGAAGTCAAACACGCTAGACAAAGTTGAGTCAGAACTCTCTGACCTTTCTGCGGCTGCGAAGAAAAGTCCTACATTTTCTCAGTTCATGAAGGATCCATCTGTGCCTTCTGAAACTAGAGTGACTGCCATTAAGGAAATTTGTGCTCTGGCTAAATTTGGAGATGTCACAAGGAACTTCTTGTGTAAGCCTTTTTTTAGAATGCTGTTTTGTTTTCTGACTAGTTATGCGTGTGCACCTTGTGTTATATTTTTACTGCTGGCTACTTGCAATTACTCTGTGGATGTTGTGCTTATCAACTTTTTTGAACCTTTTAACCTGACAACCGCTATGGTTATTGTGACCAAGGGGTCATGGGTTCAAGTCTTTGGAGCAGCCTCTTGTCAAAAATGACAAGGGAAGGCTTATTGCGTATACACCTATTGGTGGGACCCTTCTCCGGACCCTCGCCTTGCAAGGACGCCAATGTGCACTGGGCGACTCTTTTTTCTATTTAACCAGAAAATGGCTACCAGGCTAGTAATGATCTTATTTCATGTGTGCAGTTGTTTTGTCTGAAAACGGGAGGCTGAAAGAGCTTGACCGCATCGTGAAACGATTCAAAGAGTTAACCATGGCACACAGGGGAGAAATTAAAGCCATTGTGACTTCTGTAATTGTGAGTTTTATCTCCTTGTGTTTTGAATATACATCTCGCTATTTTCAATACAGGAAATAGTTTGATATATAGCCCTCAACTATTCTGTCAATCCCAAACATATTCTTTAACTTTCTATATGACAAATTTCCTGTTCTTTCTAGATTTAATCCTCGGCGAAGAGATCTGACTGTTCTCTGTCGAGAATTAGGGCCAAAATGGAGACTGTCATTTATTTTATTGTGGTAGACGAGTTTCCATTTTAACTTTTTCTCTTAGCAGAGAACATTCAATTAGTTAAAAAAGACCAAACGTGGAAAGATCACTAGGTTGACGCAGAAATGTGGTAAAATTGAAAGTGGGGCTAAATCTGTTGCATTAGGACGAGAGTCCAAATTAATTTTTTTCCGGCTGTTGTATATACACAAATCATATACACCTTATATCTGTCATGTTTATCTGTCAGCCCCTTCCTCCAGAAGAGGAGAAAGAATTGAAGGCCACACTGCAGGAGATGGTTGGGCATGGGAAGTCTGTCCAAATTGAACAGAAGGTATGCTTGCACTATTTTTTTGTTGTAAAGACAGAGTTGATTTTTTAGTTCTAATAGAAATATGTTGCAATATTGCAATGGCAGATTGATCCAAGCATCCTTGGTGGCCTTGTACTGGAATTTGGGCAGAAAGTCTTTGATATGTCGATAAAGACTCGGGCCCGCCAGATGGAGAGATTCCTTCGTGAACCACTCAACTTTTGAAGAGAAGAAAGCTGTATTTCACTCTTGAGTCCTTAATATGCATTTTTTCTTGTTTGTGATAAGATAAGATTATTCCTGTTGTGTTTTTTTTGCAAATAAAAAATCTTCGTTTTTTGTGAGATTTGCTTGGGATAAAGAAAACCCCTAATTATCCTGTGATGTTTTTACCTGATTCACATCCTTGAAGTCTTGAACCAGCATAAACTATCATATTTCCCTAATAGATGTTCTTATGTTAAGTTCCAACATGCTTATCTTTAGTAACATTTGTATAGTTAATACTAGTATTTTTTAAATTGGATACGATCATACGAGGATCAGACAACTTCCTCATTGATTGACGTGTCACATTTTTTTGGTCACAAACACAATGGGACAGAGGAAGTTCTATGACGTGTCATTTACCAACATAGGATTATAATTATAATTATAATAATGCAAATAAGGTGGATTGTGCGAACTACCAAGGTTGTCCGAAAGTAAAGTTAACACACTGAGATACTACGTAATTCTTTTTCACAATTACTCCATTGGTTCAGTGGATTGATCATTGAATTCAGATTTTCCTATGCTCCATTCTAGCCAAGTAACAGTATATTGTACTCCGTAAAACGGTAAAAGTTTCGCTTGATTTATTTACATTAGTTCGTTATAATCACTATATACTAGGGCTGGACTGGGGCTGGTTCGGGCCCGGGCCTAGGCCCAGTCGGGCCGGCGGTTCTGGAATGGGGGCCCGGAACAGGCCCGGGTAATCCCTGGTTCTGGGCTGGGCCTCGGGCTTTGTTATTTTTTTCCTTTTCCTAGTTAACCCCCAACCCCCCCCCCCCACCCCCAAACCACCCCAAATGGCCCAAAATACCCAGCCCAACCCGAAAAGTAAAAAAAAAATGAAAAAAAAAAAAATTAAAAGGCCCGGAATCGTGCCCGAACTGGCCAGGCCGGTTCATGATTTGGGGGACCCGAGGTAGGACCGGAACCCACGCGGGTCGGGCCTACCCGGACCGGTCACTGACCGGGCCACCGGGCCGGGCTGGAACACTGCCGGTTCGGGCCGGTTCCGGGTCGGGCCACCCGGCCGAGTCCAGGCCTGCTATATACATTTACAAGGTGGGTTATTAAAAAAGAATGGCACCTCATCGGCTCATCCTAGAAGACCCCTCAGACCTGATCCGTAATTATTTGGGAAGATATAAATTGAGTTCTGATTAAAAAAGAGTGGGGTTTAATTCTAACTTTCTAAGTCATTGCTTTGAGTTGAATTTCGGACCCCTCATTTGTGATACCCTCTTCGTATAAGGTTGGTTACTAATATAGTGATATATTACCTCCGCTCCACAATTTTTTTCCCGGTTTTACTTGAATCAGAATTTAAGAAAATTGAAATGTATTGATGTGATTAGTAAGAGAAAAGTAAATGAATGTTAATCATACAAAATTTTTCAAAAAGGGAAATGATAAAAAAAATTGGGACATCCCTAAAAGGTAAGTTAAAAGATTTTTATGGGACAAACGAAGTATATGTGTAGAGTAGTTGTTCAACCAATAAGTGCATACATGGTTTACTTGCTTAAACACGATGCGTGTAAATTAATCTTACTTCAGGTTAGTTCTTCTATTAACCTTTTATTTATTACTGAACTTTCAGCACAAATATGTCAATGAATTCTATTTTATTAGTTCAAGGCTCCTCCCAAATTAAATCTCATTTACTCAAAGGTGTCTTCATACATACAAATGATGCTGCATCGATGTTGATAAGTTAAAAGAAGTTGAGAGATACAATGACTTTTGCACCTATACATTTTACGGAGTATTATTTTCTGTAATTTTATAAGATAGTATCATTATAAGCTCATAGACCGATATAATCCTGATAGAAGCCCGCAAGAACGGGCTGCCTCGTGTGTTACTGTGTTTACTACTACCTTCGTCCCACTATGTTTGGGACAAGAGGGTGTACACAACGTTTAAGAAAAAGTGAAATTGTGTGGTTAATATTGAATTGATAAAGTATAAATAAAGTAAGTATGAATTGTAACCACCTAAATATTACCAAATATGGTATGAGACAAACTTAATGGGATAGACGGAAAATGTAAAATGAGACAAAGTTAGGGGGACGAAGTGAGTACTATTTACTCCAGTCTAGAACATATGTAAATAGTGTAGGAAATTTCTTTGGGTGCATAAATGCATAATCAGGCAATCAACATTAGACTCCTTAATGCATTTTTAGCATGAAACAATAACGAAAAGAAATACAGAGAGGAGTATATCTCAATGAGGAAACTTGAATGTGGCTGTGACTAGTGCTACTCTCCACAGACCACAATCGAACTAACTTTAATGAAAGAACTATTCATTTGAACCCAGCATTCCGGCCCAGCTGGTTGTGAGGTTACCGTGTCTAGTAAGAAGTCTCGAGTTCGAAATCCGCTAGACACATAAGGGTTTGAAACTCAATGAAGTGAGTTTCAGCCCTGATTACTCCAGCCCCCCAGCCTCCTCCCCCAAACCCCTGGAGTAAAAAATAAAATAAAATAAAATAAAAACAAAAAAAACTATTCATTTGTTGGTGTAATAGGAAGTCCTATGATTAAATTACAAAACCAAATTGGTATCATAACTACAATTCTAATAGCTAGTATAATTATTGAATACTCTGTACATAATACATAAATTCTAATCAAAATAGAGAATGTGAGTAGTGTGCTACTAAAAATGGGGGAAGCTGGAAGTACGCGTCATGATGTAAAGATCGATCACTTATAATGTAAAGTTTATGATATTTATTTTATACATACATATTTGGGATAGTCATTTCACACTTCTCCAAAGCTTAGAGTATTTGAAATATTCTTCTCAAAATTATTTGATGATAAGTGGAATGAGCTAGAGAGAGTTCACAAAGTAAGCTTAGAGGCTCTTAAGATTGATATTTTGTTACGTTGTTGCTCCAATATTGTATGCTAATAAGATAGAGTTCGCTAGTTACCAAAGTAATTAATAATCTTTAAGCTTGCTAATTTGCTCTAACATTTGTCTCTTTACAATAAGTCAATAACATTATCCTTAATTTTATTTTTGTTGTATCTGTTAGAAAATATTTTAATTGTGAAATTGTGATCAATTAAGTTTTATCAGCTTGTAATAATTTACTTTTTTAGAATAGGTCTAGTGAAATTATTGTATTTAGCCTAAAATGTCTAAGGGCCTCAAATGGGAATTTTGGCCCACGATTATGAATTAACGGATGCACAAATACCCAAGGTATAAATACTTACCCATTAGGTTTGTGTGTATAGACATAAATCATTTTGAGAGAGCCGCAGAGCACATTTTGAGTGTAAAGAAATATTCCGTCGTATAAAACCTTTGAATCATTATGAATGGAAATTTCATTGTTTCATCAATCATTCCTTGCCTATATTGTGATCTATTTCTGATTTTCGGGTTCCAACATTATCGTTTCTTGTGTATATTCATCCACACTTGCCTAATTGCCTTATCTGCTTAACTTCTTTGGAATTGCCCCTATTAGAGCATCTCCAATAAGGATGTGAATTGCACCTTTAAAAAATGGACACGTCATCCATATAAATAGCCCGTGGGGCTGATTTGGACACATAGACTATTTAAATGATATTCCTTCTCCAATGGTTTCATCGGTTCTCTCTCTTAACAAAATAATAATTTAATCATTATTAATATGCAAAGTATTACTACTATTTGTTTTCGTATATGGAGTGGAGTACACAGGAACTCAGGAAGTAAAATACGGAGTATACACCTTCAGGATTGGTAGAATTTATTTATTGCTTAGTTGGCAATGGGATGAGATTTCTCAAACCAGAAGGTGGGATAGACATCGTCCCTTTTTTTCCATTCCAAGTCATCACTACAGCCATAGTCCATTAGTCCATATTGCCGTTGGAGATGTTTTTTTCGAATTTTAACGTGGCAATGCATTTAGAGGAATTGATCCTCCCATTAAAGATGCTCTTAGCCTTTTCTGATTTTCTCTTGCCTCTTATTTTTCTTGTACTCCCTCCGTCCAAAAATCGTTGACCAAATTTCCTTTCTTGGTCGTTCCAAAATGGTTGGTCATTTCTATTTAAAGTAAGGAATATCTGGCTAAAGTTAATTCTCCCCCCTCTTCACAAATTTCAACTACACAGATTTTGTTTTATTAATCAACGTGCAAGTCAACATTGACCAACGATTTTGGGACGGAGAGAGTATTATACTCCGTATCTTTTTAGGGCGAAGGGTATACTATGCAATCGAGTTCACCTGGCCTTGGCATGTAGCACGTGGTGGAGTAGTTAAAGGGTTGGCCATCTTGGGCTACGATACAATCCAGGGAGTGGGGGCATTGGTCCCGACTTATCTAAATTTAAAAAATGGCTTAATTTTTATGGTATAAAAATCCTTGTTTTCTAAAAACATTCTTTGTATTGGTCCAGTCGAAGACAATGTCCTAACTCCAGCTCTAATCCCAAAAAAAAAACCGTCTCAATTTATGTTTAAAAGTAAATACTATCCCCGGTTCTTTAATTCTTGCAACAATTTGACTTTCACGTTTGCCAACACACAACTTTGAGTTTTTGACTATAATTATACTCCCTCCGTCCCATTGGACTTTGCCAACTTTTCCTTTTTGGTTGTCCCAAAAAACTTTGCCACTTTCCTATTAAAGCAACTAATATGTGCTTCCATACATTTTTATCTCCTTTGCACAAATCTCAACCACACATGCAGTTTTTCCTATTCTTATTTCTCACATATTTTGCACTTGGCAAAGTCCACCGGGACGGAGGTAGTATTTAATTATGTATTAGTAAACATTATAAAAAGGTGATATTTTGGAAATTTACATTAATAAGAATTCAAAAACATTTTATACGTAATAATTTGATTATATATATGAGTAGTAAATCGTGGTCAAAGTAAGGTCTGCGAGTAGAGTAAAAATCACAATGTTGCAAGATTTAAAGAACGGAGGAAGTATGTAGTTCTCTTGATATTTCTTTTTCCTCTACATAATAATGATCCAAATATTGTTTTTTCTTATTTCACACCTAACACAAATTTGTCACTTTCCAAGGAGACAGTTAATAAAGATATTGTTAAACTAAATTTTAATAGGGGTTTAATTCGCCATACCTGTTAGTGATATACTTGTATAAAAATTCCTAAGCTTGAAAGCTTCTCATGATTTAAAATACGTCAATGTGTCAACCACTTGGGTTATAACAAATCATATACATTACGTACAATATAATAATAAGGAAAAATTCACAAGAATAATCCCACCTATTAGAGGTTCATCAGATGGATGTTCATAATGCATTCCTTCATGGTGACTTAGATGACGAAGTTTACATGAAAACCCCACCTGGATTTCATCATTCTCGGCCTGGTCTTGTATGTCGCATGTGAAAATCTTTATATGGTTTGCGGCAGGCTCCCCGATGTTGGTTCGCTAAGCTCACCACTGGGTTGCGCTCGTACGGATTTTGCCAGTCTAAATCCAATTATTCCTTGTTTATTTATCAGCAGGGTCATATTCGTTTGCATGTGATGATTTAATAATTGCTGGCAATAACCCGTCAGCTCTTGCTCGTTTTAAACATTATTTGCACTCTTGTTTTCATATGAAGGATTTGGGCATTCTGAAATATTTTCTTGGCATAGAGGCAGGACCGGTCCCGAGAATCTAAAGGCCCTGTGCAATAAAAAAATGGGCTTTCCTTCAATATAAGTAGAAATAGAACATAAATAAGGATGATTACAGTGATAAGTTATTAATAATTTATTTTTAAAATACATGTTACTTATGAACAAAATAGTAAAAATAAAAGTATTCATTAATAAAATACATTTCATTAAAAAGGGACATTATTTGGACACATAATTACTGCCAAGTTGTTAGAATTCCTCCACTAATCTAATACCAGAGTACCTATTTGTTAGAGAATTTAAACTAATAGACTACCTGGTCAATTATAAAAAAAATTAGTTTAATTACCTGGTCAATTACCTAGAGAAAATCAGAAATAACAACCTAAGCTTCTAAATTTCATCAAAAATTAGAAGGCGTAATGGAGTAATGGCCCTAATAATTATAATAAATAATTACAATCAACAATGAAATGTCAATATATCACATAATAATCAAGAAGATTAATAAACTATAATCTTTAATTTTTAATAAAAAATTAAAGATTGACGGATTGTGACGTGGTTAGCGACTCAGGCGAAGGAGCAGACTGGAGGCTCCGACGTAAGGTGCAGTCGAAGCCCTGACAATGGTCGGCATTTCTCGAGGTCGTCCGTCTCTGTT